TCCCATTCATCTATGTTATCTTCTCCTGGTTGTAGCTTTTCCAGGATACTGGGAGACTATTTATGTTGTGGATTAGGACTTCTAGTGTTGTTCCTAGCTTTTCTTTAATGAATTTTAAAGTAGAGCTTTTGAAGTCAGACTCTGGTTTGAGTCCTGGTACTGTTAACTTCTTAAACTTTAAGACTTCAGATTCTATATGATGTACAGTGCTCTAGTGGTTTAGTAGTAAGGAGCTGTGCTGCCATCCCAAAGGGATATAGTTCAGATCCGCCAACTGCTCCATGAAAGAAAGATGAACAGTTTCCTTCTGTGTGATTTATTGCCTCTGAAAACCTGCTGGAAGATGAGCTATGAGTTTGTTTTTAAGTGCCTTCGAGTCGCAGGCAACTCATAGTGACCCTGTGAAGGAGAGTCCTCAATGCTTGGGTATCCCTCATCCTCTCTCCAGGTTGATAGGGTTTCCGGAGGCAAGCTGTTACGGAAGTGTGTGCCACTTCTCCTTCCAAGCTTGTTTTAATTGGGGAGTTCCACCCCACTCTCTGTCTGCATTGGGTAACCAGCCATTAACGCATTTGACACATCAGTGCCACAGTGTTCAGCCTCACAGCAACCACCAGTGACCTCTGTATGGCAACTTGTATACCAGGGCTATACGACCTAGAGGAATATCTGAACAAAAGCAATGAAAGACAGGCCTGAGGGCCGCAGATTAAAAGTCGCCCACTTTTGGCTTGGTAGCATTGCCTTCTGTCCACTGGGCCAGCTGATCTTTCTCTCAGTGTTGATGTTATTGTTGTTAAGTGCCCTGATTTGCAGGCGACTCATAGCAACCCTGGAAGGTCCCCTGGAAGGTCATGTCCCACCTAGGGCCTTGGAAGATTTAATGTCAGCTGAATCAGGACTCTGACTCATGGCAGGTTTGAGGGCTCAGGGCAATTTTTGTGTTCTTTGGGCCCACGTGGGGGTCAACAGAGCGGACATGCCAGATGAACTGGGGGTCTGGCGGAAGGACTTTGCCATCATTTGGGTGTGCCTGGTTAGTAAGACCCTAGAAGGTCGTGTCTGAATAGCACATACCACCGTCATATAATTAATGTATGGTCTAGATTGGTGTTGTCCGGCTTTAGTAAGCAAAAAAAAAAAAAAAACTACCTGGAGGGAATGTTATTAAACCTAGATAATCTGTGCTTAGAAAAGGAGACAGGAAAAAAAGAAGAAAACTTACAGTGATGCAGTGACTGGAACAGTGGGTTTTAAGCACAGCTGTAGTTAACAAGAATGAGACCAGACCAGGCAGTTTCACTCTTCGGTATACAGGGATACTGTGAGTTGGAGCACCCAGCAACAATCTAAGCCTCACACTCAAAGAGAGTTTTATTCAGTAAGTCCAGGATAGGGGTCAGGTATTGTAATTACTTGTAAGCTCCCACAGAAAGCTCAAAAGGAATATATGATTAGGTTATTATTGGCATGACAAGGGTCCAGAATAAGAGTTGCATAATAAAGTAGTGGTGGTTGGGGGGGGGGCCTGTATAATAAGAAAAAACTTTTTATCCAAAGGAAAAAAGCAAACTGAGGGGAGGCAAGGAGAAATATGTGCAACAGTGAATAAATGGAAATCCAAGGTCTTTATAAACTTTCATTAAAATCTTAAAAAAAAAAGCAAGCTTTAGTGGTGTAATAGTATGGAGGTCTGTGGTTTGAATTTACCAGCTGCTCCACAGGAAAAACATGGGCAGTCTCTTCCCATGTGATTTACTGCCTCTGCAAACCTGCCAGAGGGTCAACTATGTATCATTCCTGATTTGGTGATAGACAACAAGAGCAATCTTCTAAAGAGCGATACTAAGCTCCCACGAGACTAGGCTTTATAACACAGTGGTTTGCATATAATAAAGAGTTCCATAGATCAAGGTAGGGGTTCTCCCTTCTTTTATTTTTTTGTCGTTATTTATTAACCCAGCCTCAAAAAAGTTTTGTCCTTGCTCAGAGTGAGTTTTAACTAAACTGTGCCCTAATATTCTCTTAGTGTTTTTCAGTTTATCTTTCAGCTTGCCCTTAATTCTTTTTTTTTGGTATGTTGTTGTGTACCGTTTAGTCTCAACCAACCTATAGCTTACCCTCTGGAGGATTTTCAGAGGCGGTTAATCGCATGGAAAGAGGCTGCCCATCCTTCTTCCACAGAGCAGCTAGTGGCCTTGAACCATGTCTTGCTACTAGGCCACCAGAGCTCCCTGTAGTGCTTTCTTTAATATTTACTGAATCTATTCCAAGATCTTGGTAACTTCGTAAAGGAGTCACTCTAGTTTGGAACAGCCAAATGGAAAGAATGTGAATGTTTGAGGATTCACAATTATTGGTTAAAGACCTAATCAACTGTTTATTTCACTTATATACCAATACCCTGTAAATGATAATGCAAACAAATCCTTCAATGCATTTAAATAATGCCTATTTTACACTCTGTTTCTCGAACACATTAAATACATTTGTCTTTTTTCTTCAATGTTTAGTTGTCATGTTAAGAGATTCTAACAGAGCTCTTTTGATTTGTGGGAAGGAGTTAAAATGCCAGCCCAAAGACATGCAGTTTGGATTCACCAGCTGCTCTGTGGGGGAAAGATGAGAGATCTCCTCCCATGTGATCACCCTCTGAAAACCTGCCAGAAAGTTTTTAACTATATGAGTTGGTTCTGACTCCATGGTACATAACAACAATAAAGGTTTTAAAAACTATATTCAGTGAGATTATATTGTTAAAATATATAGCTCATAGCATATCTTTTCAAAGATAAAGGGAACAGGTGAATGAGAGACCTGTACTTTTTTGACGTATTTTTATAAAAAAGGCTATTTACAAAACTATTTTACACTTAAAATATATCTTCAGAACTTAATTTATTTTACTAGGGGCAATAATAGCAAATATCTGCATGTACAAGTTCTTTGATTCATTTACTTTGAATGCTAAAAATAGAAAAAAATTTAAATTTTTGTGGTTTTATATTTTGTAATTATGTTACTTTTGTCTCAATGAGGAAATCAGTGTTTACTTGGGAAAATCAGGAAGTGCAGTTATTTGTATCCTGTGTAAATTTAGATCATACTTGAATTTTTTTCTCTCAGCCTTTTTGGGAAAAGATACCTGTGTAGCATGAAGTGTATGAAATTATCTTCTTGTACCTTCCTTATTTTGAGATTTGTATTGAGTTTTAGTCCTCAGTTATATTTTTCAATTTTTTCAATTGAGAATGATGCAAAATTAACCTGACGCGTAAAATATATTTCCAAAATCTCTTTTTAGCACATCAAAGCTGCCAAATGATCTGCTTGATTTACAACAGCCAACTTTTCACCCATCTGTACATTCTATGTCAACTGCTTCTCAGGTAGCAAGTACATGGGGAGGTAAGCATTAACGAATTCTATACAGGATGTTGTGTTGCTGTCCTTTCTCCCCATTCTGTAGTGCTAAAATGATTTGGATTGTATTTAGTTACACTTATTACATGAAAAATTGAGAAATCATAAGATGGTAGTAAAATAATCGTGTCCCTTAAAGACATTTTATTTGTTTATAAATAGAATTTTGAAGATTGAATAAACTTCTAAAATGAGATCTAATAAAGATAAAATGAAAAAGGGCCAGATACGTGAAATTTGAAGTCATTCTTTCAGTGTTGATGTTTCAATGTTCTTATTATTCAGTAATAAAAACATACATAATGATTCTTTACTATTTTTTTTTATTCTTTATTAAAAATAAAATTATTTGTGTGGGGAATCTCTTATAAGTAATAGAGTTCTAGTGAAACACAGATGCTTTTGTCACACAGTCTTCGGACTGGGAATCTCATGCCAGACTTTATGATATTTGTGCTTAAAATTTTTTACTTAATTTAGACCTATCAGATTTTGCTGCTCAAAGAAATACTTTTTGCTATACCAACAGGAATGTTTTTTATCCTAATTTGAGTATTTCATTTTCTTGCATTGTTGAAGGAGGAAGACTGTAGTTCCTGTCAGTATTGAAGCAGTTTTACTTGGAATTTTGCTTAGTTGTTTTTTTTTTTTGGCGCTTAGTTTTGATTCTTCTGTTTGTGTATGCATATATTAATTTAAGGACCGCTGGTGGTACAGTGGCTTAAGCCCTCCACTGTTAACTGTGAGGTCAACAGTTTAAGCCCATCAGCTGCTGTGAAAGAGAAAGAAATAACAAAGTGTTTCTACAAAGATTTATAGCCTTGGAAACTCAATAAGACAACTCTTCTCTGCCCTGTGTGGGCACTATGTATCAAAATCGCCAAACAGGAGTAGATTTTTGGTTTACCTAGAAGTTGTTAAAGAAAGGAAGGAGGTATTTTGAGAAAGAAGAGCATTGTCTGAATAGATAATGGAAAGTACCTTGGAATTTTTTATTGGTACACATGTAAAATCTGAATTGATAGGTATAAATCTCAATGCAAAGATAAAATTGTTTATTTTTCTTGGAACTTTTAAGGCTATGGTCCATATTTTATAATGCAAGTTCTGTGAAAGCAGAACTTTATTAATATTTTGTTCACCGCTATATCTGGAATACCCACAACATGTTTTAATATATAATACTCTGTTAATGTTTATTGGATGAATGGACTTTTTTTTTTCCTCCTGGAAAAGTTTGAAGCTATAGCAAAAAGCAGAGATGATGAAACATTAGGGGTTCACTAGGTTCTTAGACTTACTAGATACGAGCTTTACCTTGAAAAAAAGGAACTGGACTCTCCTGTTAGTTTCACTTAGCTAAATCTGTATTTTTTAGAAATGATAGGTTAGCATAAATCAGTAAAATGATAGAAATTATTGAGCAACAAATTGAAGGTTGCAATTTAAGGTTAAGAATTTCTTAATATTTTCCTGATTATTATTGAGTGTTTTCAATCTAATAATTATCTATATCCAGTTAGTAGGAAAAATTATAGTAATTTATATCAGAATAAACATGTTGGAATACATTTTATTATATACTTAGTTTTTTATTTTAGATTATTTTGTATACTGTTACATAAAAAAGTTTCCTCATTTTAATACTTAACTGGCCATGACTCCTAAAAGTACTAAAAATACAAATCAGTGCAGTGGAAACAGAAGCAAAAGCAGTTATTATTTTTTTAAAAACTTACCATTATATGTGGGGAAGATCTTTTTTTGATTCCCCACATTTTACATAAAACTAAAGCCTGTTTTCACTTTCATATTAAGTTACAGTCAGCCCTCATACCTTTGAGTTCCCTATATTCTTATTCTACCAACTATAAATTGAAAATACTCAAGTGATGAGAATTAAATAGTCAAAGCAATCCTTCAGAGGCTAGAAAATCCCAGAAAACCCTGGTAAGCCAATTATAAATCATCTTGACCTTGCAGGTTTCCAAAGTTGAACATCTGTATAGGAGACAACGGCCTATCTTTCTCTCCAGAAACAGCTGATGGATTTGAACTGCTGACATTTCTTTTAGCAACTTTGATCCATTAGGCATTATGCCAGTGGAGCTTATCAGAGGCTAAAAGGAGTTGTAGAATGCTATTTATACAGCATTTACATTGTATTAACTAGAAATGATTGGGAGGATATGTGAGTAGTTATATATCTCACTGTGCTGTTTTTAATAAAGACTTAAGCTTCTTCAGTTTTTTCTGTGAAAGAAGTGAAATTAGCATGTAGCCTGGAACTAGTCTCCTGAGGATACCAAAGGACAATTCTGCTTACAAGTTGTTGATAGTTTCAGGATTTTGACTGCTGAATAATTAAGTAATTGTACAGTATTTTAAGTGACGCTCTTTTATACGTCTTCATTCAACCAGCATAGTTTTTTATGACATTCAGACCAAGGTTTTATTTTTTAAATTACAGTTATATTAAAAGATAAATCTTGTGTCAAAACCTTTGATCTTAACAGTGAATTCCTAAAGGCATTTTGAAATTTACCATTTACCTGAACACTATAAGTATGCAACTTAAAGTCTTGTTTCATGCTAATTTTATAGAGTATTAAAACTCATTGCCAACAGGCCAGAACTGACTTATAGCTGAACCTTCATGGTTTTTCAGGCAAAAAATTGTGTAAAGGAGATTGTTCACCTTTATCCTAAGAAGTTGTTGGTAGATTCATACCACTGCAGAGGTGTGACCTTTAGATTAGCAGTTTACCACTTTACAGAATATGCCTCCTGAGCTCCCTTTATGTAGTATGTAGCAAGGCAAAATTACTATCTTTAAAATATAATTCTAAAATCTCATTCTTTTATGTTTATTTTCTAGAAATAAATTCTGATAACAGACCTGATAATTTACTTTCATTCTTATTATAAGCACCAAAGATGTAATGTACTTCCCAAATATATGTAGGTTAGTGGTAAAGTTAAGAAGAACAAATCCGTGATTACATGAAAGATATTTAATTTTCTGCCCAAAAAATTAACTGTGAGAGCAAGGTACAAGCTAACCTAGTCCCCTTATCTCATTTAATGAGCCTTGAAAAGACTTGAGTATCTATTACTCTGGAATACAGCAGATCTAAAAGAAGAGAGTCATTGTCAACTCTGTCATTGTTGTATATTTTAGACAAGATTTCAAAATTTAAATAAAAATGATCCTTTAAGAGCCTCAATTCACATAACCTGTCATATTGTGCTTGGTGAATTTAATACTTCCTTTTTAAAGCATTCCATTTTCTTTGTGTGAAAATAAGTGTCACGTATATAGCACTTTAAGTCTATCATAATAACTCTTGTTATTTTTATCCTGGTAGTAAATTTTTGTGTTTTTAAAATGTCTACTATAATATAAAAAATTCTTAGTAAGAAAACATTTAAAAAGGTTTAAAATAAGTAGAATAGCGTTGCAAGCTTAGCTGAAGCTTAATTTGCAGTAACTGCAATCTTTATCATTTCTTAATTGAACTTTAAAAATTATTTATACGGTGTTGATTTGACACTAGTAAATTAATATCACCTAAATTATCTATAGTGTTCTGACAAATAGATTCAAAGCTGATTTTCTTTATTTATTGATCAGATATACATGTGTTTGCTTGTATTTATGCATATTCTTTTCCCATAATTTTAAATTAAGTGCTTAGGTGAAATAGTATTAGTAGAACAGCAGATAACCATAACCTTTTTGAAGCATGTCTGTTCTTAGAAATTGATCTGTTAAAGAAATACATGTCCTTTTTTTCTGAATGACTTCTTTTATGACTTTTGTGTGGAAAAACTATAAAAGTATTTTGTATTTCTTACTTGCTCAATATATTTGCAATGTATATTAAAAAATTTTCCATCATTAAATACCTAAAAACTACTTTGAACCTCATTGGTCAACTCTGAACTTAATGCACCTACTTTTTTAGGCAAGTAGGGATTATAGTGATCTTTGCTGTTTTTATTTTAGTACAAAAGGCAAAGTAATATGTTTGACTGACGATTTTATACTTTATATTTGACTTTTTCTTGTTCTTTCCTCACTTATTTAATATTTTGGAGGATGAATTGCTGGGAAAGATGTTAGATAGCATTAGTTTGAATAAATGTATTTTGGAATTTTCTTAAATAATTGTGTTGAAAACTTGTAGGCTTTTATTTTATAATATGAGCCGATTTTCCATAGGAAAACTTAATTCCTATAGGAGTTATCTTTTATTACAGAAATTTTTTGAAGATTTATTTAAAAGATCTGTTGTATTTGAACTGATTATTGAAATTTAATATTCTGCTTTTCAAACAGTTGTATTTTGGACTCGTGGAATATAAGTTCAATTTACTGACTTGAAGGAAAGTGTATCTACACTATATTGGTCCTTAGAAATTATTGTTTGCTGTCACATTGAGCACAACTCCACAACAACCCTATGAATAAAAGGCTTCAAGCCTTTCTGTAACTATTGTTGTTTCTCAAAATTCATAGAGTTTCCAGAGGCATGTTGTTTAGGAAGTGGATGCCACTCTTGCTTCCAAACCCACCTTAAACTGGGAGCTCTACCAAACACTGTCCACCATGGGTAACTATTAGGGCATTTGACATACCAGTGCACAAGGTTTAGTACTATAGCAACCCTAGGTTAACCTCACTATAGCATATTAACAGAAGAGACCTCTTAAAAGAATGTTCCTCCAAAATATAATAACAACTGACTTTTAAATACAAAGACCATCCAGGGGGTCTTGTTGATTCTAAACAAGAGACTTATACCAGCCAATATAATATGTTGCTGCTATTATGATGTGCCATCAAGCCACCTGCAACACATAACAACCTTATTACAGCAGCTTTGAACCCTTCCCTGTCCTGAGCCAATGTGACTAATTCTGACACACCAACCCCCACTGCCCTAGTTACTGTATCAATCCATCTCAACTGGGGTCTTCCT